GTATTATTAATCCTATCTAGTCCCTTATACGAGTTGTCAAATGAGACCTCATTATCTTAAGGTAGACCTCGCCGTTCTTTGCATCACCAAACCACAGGGAAGCACCAAACAAGCTCCCCAAGATTAAGGTTGTGAGAATGATGATCGCCTAAATGTTAACGGTGATGTCACAGAAGTTGTTGCCAATGGACCAAGCCGTCACCAAAGGTGATCTTGATCCAAGTTCAATTTGATGAAAGGTGTCGAAGTGTGTAAGATGGGTGTATTGATATATATATATATATATATATATATATATATATATATATTTTAAGAGAATAGAGAGCGAAGGAGGTAGAAAAATGTGGACTGGGATCATTGGTGATGGCAAGACTGGATTTTTGGGATGACAATTTTTTTATTAACTATTAAATTATTAAGCCAATTTGTAATTTTTAAATTTAATTATACTTGCGTGACCCATTTATGTGTCACATCAGCACATAATAGAATTTTTGACAGAATTGTGACGGAATGACTACATTGATTTGAGACACTTGCGGGACTACATTGATCAATTTTCAATTTTAGGGACTATTTTGATGTTGTGGTCAATTTCAATGACCATTTGTGAGAAAAAAATCGACTTATGAGGCCCATTTATTTGCCACATTAGCACTTAATAGAATTTTTAACAGAATTGTAATGGAAATATCACATTGATTTTCGACACATTTTCAGGGACTGCATTAATTGATTTTCAATTTCAGATACCATCTTAATGATGAGGATCAATTTCAGGAATCATTTGTGATAAAAACCCATAAGTGTATAAACAAACTTTTTTACAAACAAGGATGTTTACAAATATTACTTTTCAATCAAAAGATCCAAATTGAACTTATCCATATAGTCAAGACACTTAATTTACGCATACATATGCACGTAAACCTTGAAAACCGTTATGAAAAAAAAAAAAAATAAGGCTTCGACTAATACAATTTACAAATGTATTAAACATGTGTCGATGCGAGTATTATGGTGATAGTCTTTCCTGTAACAACATCCAGAATTAGCTAGCACCTGAATTAATCAATGCGAGAAGATAAAGAACTTTTCAAAAGGGCGGGGTAGCCCTATTGCTATTTTTAACGGTCAACCGATGCAGGGGAGCGGCTGCCCACACTTCCCGTCAAATGTTAGATTAAGACGCTTAATTATAATTAATTAACTGCAAATGCCTTATTTAGCGAGTCTGTTCTCATATTTAAAGACACCCCCAGGCAAATCAATAGATAAGTCGGTTGGTTAATTAATAATCTCTTGTGACCGGTTTAATCCGTTGGCTTGGCTTGGCCGGGACTGCTTCAACACCATCGAGCAACCCTGTCCTCGCCCAACCCGACAGTGTCCTCTCGCAAGGTGTCGGTGGCCGCCGACGAAGTACCAACAACAATGGCAGCGATGTTTAACTCGCCCTATTTCTTTCTGTGTTTGTTTTTCTTATCCTTTGCTGCATTTGTTTCGAGTAATGATGGTCCAACCGATGTTACAAATGAAGATACTATGGTATTAGATTTAGATGCGTACTGGAAAGAACGAGCCCAAGAAGCCTTAAAGGAGGCCATGGAAAGCTACCATAAAAATCCTGAGCAAGTCACTGAGGAGTTCAATACTGGAGTTGCCGAGTAAGTCTAATTATTGCATGCAGATTTACCGTTCGACAATAATATATATAAACTTTTGCTTAACAATATAAGTCTGGCAAAAAATGGTACTTCATACATTTATATATACGAATGTATATGTTTTAGTTTTGTCATCAGTGACATATATACACATATATGTGCGCAGGCTTTTGTCCAAGGAAAACACCACAAGAAGGAACTTGAGAGGTAACAAGGGTTATAATGGTCCATGCATGGCGACCAATCCAATTGACGCCTGCTGGAGGTGTGACGCTAATTGGGCCAATAACCGAAAGAAGATTGTAGGCTGCGCCCAAGGCTTTGGTAAAAAGGCCACCGGAGGTAAGGACGGTCCCATTTACGTGGTGACTGTGGGCACAGATAATGACGTACAAAACCCCAAACCCGGAACCCTACGCCACGCCGTGATTCAGAAAGGGCCTTTGTGGATAATCTTCGCAAGAAGCATGGTGATTAGGCTGGAGCAAGAGCTGATGGTGACCAGTGACAAGACCATCGATGGTAGAGGAGCCAATGTTGTGATAGAAGAGGGTGGTGGCATTACCCTCCAGTTTGTGAAGAATGTAATCATCACCAACCTTCACGTCAAAATGATTGTGTCCAAACCCGGTGGTATGATCAGGGACTCCGTCGACCACATGGGTTTGAGGACCAAGAGTGACGGCGATGGTATCTCCCTCTTTGGTGCCTCCAACGTCTGGATCGACCACGTTTCCATGTCCCGGTGCGCAGATGGGCTCATCGATGCCGTCATGGCTTCCACCGCCATCACCATCTCCAACTCCCACTTCACTGACCACGATGATGTACTTAAATTGGAATTACTTTAACCTTAAGCTAATTAACCTAATAATTAATGGTGCGTACAAAATCTGAAAATCATGCATGTATGCAGGTGATGTTGTTTGGCGCCAACAACGCGCACACTCAAGACAAAATCATGCAAATTACTTTGGCCTTCAACCACTTTGGTCAGGGACTGGTGCAGAGGATGCCGAGGGTCCGGCACGGATTCTTCCACGTGGTGAACAACGACTACAACCACTGGATCATGTATGCCATCGGAGGAAACATGAACCCTACCATCATCAGCCAGGGTAACAGGTTCATTGCTCCCGCGAACGCGGCCACCAAACAGGTAACATACAGTTTACATGAATTAATTTTTATTAATTAGTAAATACTAATTAGCCCCAGTCAAGTGTCTTCACGCACGAGTGCGGATGTTAGTTTTTACCAAAACGTGTGCTAGCTCGATCGAAAAAGTAATCAGTAAATACAGTCCAAATATAACCGTTTATTATACATGCTCTAGTACGTTCGTTCATATTTAATCTGTCATTAATTCTGGATTTAATTGTATAGGTGACCCATAGGGAGCATACACCAGAGTCAGAGTGGAAGAACTGGGAATGGAGATCTGAGGGAGATTTGATGATGAATGGAGCTTTCTTTGTTGAATCTGGATCAGGAGCCAGCCAACACCCAGCAAAGTTGGACATGATGCCCTTCCAACCAGGGACCTTTGCCACAAAGCTCACAAAATTTTCCGGCGCTCTAAACTGCGTTGTCGGCAAACCCTGCTAGGTTTTTTTGTTATTATTTTCCTCTTTTTTGAACGTGCGCACCATTAGATGTAGTACGTGTTGTATTCAAACGCAAAAACAAGGATCGAAACATATGAAAAAAGAGGATATTCTGAAGCCGTACATATATGCCACCATTGTTGCACTTTCTAATTATTTTCTTATTCTCTTTTTGGTAATTTATTGGGGAATTAATGAAGGAAAAAAAGATGGAAGTGGGAGAGGGATATACACCTAAATTCAAATCTAATATAAATTGAAGAAAGCAGTAAAGGTCATGCCCAATCAAACCGATCGAATAATTAATTTAGGACTGCATGTGGATGCTAATTGCAGCATTAGAGTTAACAATACTAATTATAATGGAATGATCCATAAAGATGCGCGCAGCATAATATGATCTATATATCATGATTAGTGCTAATTGATTAATTAACAATTTGACATCCAGTCTGTGAAAGCATCATCACAAGGACAAGGGTTGGTTCGAAATCTCCATAGGAATTAACGTGGTGTATGGAAAGCAACTCCACACATTTTAATTGCATACAATATTCTAGATATAGGAGATTGACACGTTTGCCATAAAATACAAGTGAATCATATCAGACACCAAGTAGTAAATATTGGACGAAGAACCCTAAGCTAAAACCACAACAAACAAACGGGGAATCATATGTTGTCTTATAGCAGCACAAGCGACAGGTTTGGCCATGCCCTAATTATCCCACAAAACAAAATATAATGCCCTTTGGACATTGTCATCTTTGGAGAAGCCAGAATTTTCTTGTCTCGTCCACTGCTTGTCTACTATGATTCTCCAAAACTTCACCATTTCTGTGTTAAGATAACTTTTTTTTTTTTTTTACCTTGCTGCCATTTCTTGGAAATATAGGGTTCAAATTCCCTTCATACCCTCAGTGGAAACATAGAATTTTATCCACTTTTATTGTACCTTGATATGCACTAGCTACTTTAATTTATTTCTATTTTAGACAAGCAATATTGAAAGAGGGGGCCCTAAATTGAGCGCAGAACTTCGATGATAGTAACGAATGTTGACTGATCTTAACAACTTCAAACTACAATCTCTTGGTATTTACAATGATTGTTGGGCTAATAGTGCATTCTCCTCCTTAATTACAAAATTGCACTGCGGATATGTATAGTTCAATATTTTTTGAAGAATCCATAAGATTTGAACTCAAAGACTGACTGTCATATTAGATCAAAATAGTTGTTGGCCAAAGTTATGCTTCCTAGAAAAAGGGCAATAAAGCCATGAAAAAAAATATTTTTTTTGTCACTCACAATCTGAACTTAGACAAAGTCAGCCTTAGTGTTCAGCATGTGAATTTAAATATTTGTTAAGTTAACCTAGATTATGCCGAAGAGTTGGTATAACTAATCCTCTATCCAAGAAAAATAAAAGAGTTAAATAGTGTCAATCCTGTATCATCCACTTGGAGTTTTGAAAAAAGATTAACATGGATGCCTTCTTCAGAGGCTGAAGTCGGCCGGAGTTTCTGCTAGCATGCAGACACTCATTTCTTGTCTCAGAAAGGCACCGAAATCATCGCAACTCAAAAGACAAAGTAAGCATAAAACAAGAGAAAGCACATGCATATAAGAACTTTGCATTTTTTTTTTCCAACAGCAAACACTCAAAAAGTGAAAACCTAATTGTCTTATGTTGTTTAGTATTGACAAAGAAAAAGATAAAGAGATGGATACTAGTGCTGTAAAATCTGAACTGATCAGCTCCGGGAGGCGTCCGTTGTGCACGATAGAAGTTGACGCTTTGGTGAGCAAGTGCGTCAAAAGGAGGCGCCGCGATTCGTCTGCTGTTGCTACAGCAACTGCTCCAGGAAACAGTGATCAGCAAGGTGATCAAAGACTAAAGCAGCAGGCTCAGGCTGATCAATCTCCTACTAGTACTACCACGACGACAACTGTGAAGAGAAGTTCCAGATTTCGTGGAGTCAGCCGGTCTGATATGTTGTGTTTATGCTGACAATTATTTTTGTTTTAGTTAAATGATGAGGCTTGATATCGAGGAGTTTATATATGCAGGCATCGATGGACAGGAAGATATGAAGCTCATTTATGGGATAAGGGGTCTTGGAACCCAACACAAAGGAAGAAGGGAAAGCAAGTTTATTTGGGTAAGTACTAACGTGACATGACTAGTCACAGATTTACAGTAGGGAAGTGATTTTCGCACATCATTTTACCTCTCCATCACATCAATGCTATATATGTTTGGCCTTTAGATTTATTCTCTCCATCACATCAATGCTATATATGTTTGGCCTTTAGATTAAATAAATCGAAAGAAACTCAAATGACAAATAAACAGGATATGCTAAATGAGAAAATGAATGCAGAAATCGTTTCACATAAACTTCTAATCATTATCTTGGTCCACATTTTAGTGTGCAACTAAACATTTTTGAGGGAAATCCAACAGGGGCTTATGATGAAGAAGAATCTGCTGCAAGAGCCTATGATTTGGCAGCACTCAAGTATTGGGGAACATCAACCTTCACAAATTTTCCGGTATGATTTTCTGACGACACGCCATTTATAGGCAATAATTTATGCGAGTGTCGTGTTAATTTTGATTCAATGTCTTCTTCTTTTCAGGTGCCTGATTATGAGAGTGAAATTGAGATAATGAACACCTTAACAAAAGAAGAATATTTAGCCTCTCTGAGAAGGTAATATTCATCTCCTAATGACCACTCCTCCTGTAAACATTGTTTGTATACTAATTTCATGTCAGTGATCTCCTTTTTCTTCTGTTTACAGAAGGAGCAGTGGCTTTTCAAGAGGTGTATCCAAATATAGAGGAGTTGCAAGGTAGTACTACTTAACTTCTTTACCATTTTAATCTTTTGTTTCTCTTAAGTTAACCAATTCGTTCAAAATTTCTAAGATTGAACGCTTGTGAGAACTGCAGGCACCATCACAATGGGAGATGGGAAGCAAGGATAGGGAGAGTTTTCGGAAACAAGTACCTCTACCTCGGCACTTATGGTGAGTTTCAATCCGATCTCTAGGGTAGCGATTTCCACTCTCCTTTTTGTCACTATGCTCCAAATTGAATATTTGATACTTCTTCTGCACTCACAGGAGTGTAGGAGGCTAAAAAATGAGCATTAAAATCGTTGGCCGACCTTTAAATCTATTTGTTTCAAAGTACAATGGGTGTGTGAAGTGGTTTATATGGCTTCTTTTATTCCATCTAGGTACCCAGGAAGAGGCTGCTCATGCTTATGATATTGCAGCGATAGAATACAGAGGCATAAACGCAGTGACCAACTTTGACTTGAGCACATACATCAGATGGCTGAGGCCAGGAGCCAACTCTCTTGACCCTCAGGAACCGAAATCGAATCCAGATCAGCCTCTCCCCATGCCAACTTCCTCAAATGGCGTCCCTCTGAGAAAGGAAGGACGACAGATGTCCATGTTCCAACCCAACTCCTTCGCCGTAGATGACATAGACGCCTCAAAAAATCGCGACATTTTCCCAAGGCAGCAGCAGCCTCCTATGCCCGTTAGCCCCTGCCCCAAGTCATCACCTTCCCCAACAGCACTTGGCCTCCTCCTTCAATCCTCAATATTTAAAGAGCTGGTGGAAAAGAATTTAAATGGAGATAATGAAGAGAGTGAGAAGAATGATTCAAACCTTCTTCCGGAACAGAACAACAGCGACAATATTAAGCAGATTTTGTACGAAGAAATGCGAAATAATCCCTTTACGTGTCCTTCAAACAACGACGTTTTGCCCGCATTAGAGTCACAGGAGGAGAGCCTGCTGCCCTTGTGCAACTCCAGGGACCAACCCCTTTGGAATGGTGCCTTAAACATGTTTACTTCCCCGGACTTCAACTAATTTAACTTTAGTTTTAGTTAAATCACTCGTAAAACTCCAGCTAGATCGTTTCGGTTTCGCTTCTTCTGACTGTAAGAGGGAGTTGGTGTTAATAAATCCCTGGATTTTTCCATACGATGCAGAGCCACTGGGAATATAAAGAAATAACAAGGGATATCAGTCTTAGTGGTTTACTTTGATCTGTAAGATAGGGTTTGGGTTAAATATTACTCCACCATGAACATTAAAGATAAATGCAAGCCTTTTAATTTCCGTCTTTTGATTCTTCTTTTCCACTTCTAGTTTTACATAACTCCAACGTATTTTATGAGAAGGGAGATGTGAATTCTTGTCGAGGAGAATAGATATTAGATACACTGTTCTAAGTAACTTAATTAATTCCGGTTACGTGACAACTCTTCTTCTGCCACTAAAATGTGGGTTAAGAGATTTTTCGAATTGGAAGTTGTGGCTACATATATGTGCACGATATTGAGACAGCAGAGATTCAAACTCGGGATATCGGATGCACAGAACAATGCAATTAACGAAGGGCAAGCTCCTTGCACGATTGAGAAGACATTAGATGAATCAGAGGGAGAGAAAAAGGGTTGAGGTGAATACAAGTGAGTCCTAATTTTTAAAATTAGTAGAAAAATAAGGACAAATCGAGATTTTGAAAGTAACACTAATAGGAACTAATCAACTGCATAACGGCAACACCGAAAGAACCCGAAATTTTTACTCGAACATTATGCTTTCATTTAAGCCAACAAAACAAGGTTACTAAGCTCCACTGTAATATTTACTTCATCTCTCCGTGATCCGAAACTTCAGAAATAAAACATCTAAATGCCTAAATGTGAAACAACTCCGCGGTTGCAGAGATTTTGTACATCAAACTTGAACTACTGGACCAAATAAACCTAGTTGTCTCTCATGAGTTATGACTACATAGCATTAAAACATGGCGATGCAGCCATCTTCTTTAGAATATTGCAATCAACACCTGGTTGACACCGACCTGCAAAAACAGCGAATTTAATTACAACGTAAGAATATCAATCGACGCTCAACAGGGATATAGCTCATGCATATCAGTTCCGAAAAAGAGACTTATGACACTCAACAGGATATCCATTGGACTGCCCCAGATCATTAATCTAGGCTCTAGCTACCTTATAGATACAAGGCGGGACTGAATCCTAAATCAATATCTACAATCAGCCCTCAGTAACATGGTATTGTCTCAAACTAAATGTTAATTAACAACGGCTGCCCAAGATAGTTCACAGCAGTTAAAATTAAACACACAAATAAGAATAAAATGCAGTTCTCTCCCCCACAGATACGAGAAACTAAAAAGAGCTAAGTCCAAAATAAGTATGGCTAACATTGCTTGGTAATCTCAGTCGAAAGCATCAGATATGGATACAAACAGACTGATGGCCATTACACTGTTCAAGAATGATGCAAATACTAGATAATAGAGTTTCTATTCAAACCTTATCAGGTTATTCTTCTGATTCTCTCCTGTCATTTCAGTATCATCTTTCACAATAGCATCAGTTGATGGATTTAAAGTTTCAGACAAAGAGTCCGCAATTTCTTTAAGACCCTGCAAGAAAGTGGAACGAATTACAATTAAGTAGCAGGTATTAATGCTTTGGATATCAAGATTCCAGTGGCTGATATAGTAGTGTCATTTTTCAAGCCAAATAAAACAACATGACCAACTCATCCTCCAATATAAACTAAAGACATTTTGTAGGAAACGGGAAAAACTGAAAGGCCTATGATTTTCAGTAGCTACTCGGGTATATAGCTTGAAAGGAAGCCGTATTTGACCTCTTTCCTTGCTCCTAATGTTGTGGTGTAAAATGACAATGAAAACAAAGACAATGCAAAACTAAAGCATCTTGCTTCGTAAATGCACTAATTTGGCATTTAATTTCCATAGATTACCCTCTGTTTTTCAGAAAAACAAAGGGATCAACCGTCTTACATTATTACACGGTTTTATCAACCACAAATAATAATAAGAAGTAAATATCAAGTACTCTGCAATATTTCCAACTAGCATATAATCAACAACCAGAAGAAAAGGGATTCTTAGAAACAAACCATCAGGCCCGAAGCATCTGAATATGATGGTAAACGACCACGTGACTTCCCAGAGTTTTCAAGTTGCTTCTGCAAGTGGAAAAAATACACCATCCGGGTGGTATTACTAATTAAGTACAGGATCACAGTAAAAGATAAAGGGCAGTGCGAAAAAAACAACTTTGCAGTCACTATGTGCTGCTTTGAAGAATTAATCTGAAACTGTCGAGTAATAAGTAGCTTGCACTGAATTGATAACAGGTAGATCAACAATATCAGATGTTCCTGTTGCCACATTAACTTTGACTACGATATGACCTTACTAATTAAAGGTAACTTTGATAAATGAACACAATTTTAATTTATTTTTTCATTTTCTTAAAGTCAAAAGATATTATAAATCCATGGACGGGTACAAACCTGCAGAGTTTTAGGCATTTCAACTTTTTTTCCATCGACAAAATTGACCAGGTAGATAACACCAAGATTTGCAAGATCCTGCACAACACATTTACGTAAGTACGACCTCAAGCAGACAAATGGATGATGTATGTACTGAACTAAATGCAAGAACCACTCAAAGTTCTCCAAAGCGAAAACAAATTTGACTTACAACTCGTTAGTTTCAGTTTTAAAGATGAAGAAAGAGCCAAGTTATGCACAATAAAAAGTAAGATCAAGCATGTCATCCCTAAAAAACAAATTCTATAATTTCTCATCAATTAATCATGGCTCAACTATTCCACTAGAAGTAAAGCTGTTTTACCTGCTTTTGTTCAAGAGAACCCATCTTATGATCCTGAGAAAGGGAAATGGAAAACAAGTTACTACTAATTCAAATATATTGTGCATGCATGATAGAGAAAGAGATACGTAAAGGACAACGAGGTACATAAGAGAAAAGAAAAATGGGTGTGCATCATGAAGAGAGGGAATGAAAACGTGCGTGCTTAAAAAGAGAGGTAAAAAATTGGCCTAAAGCAACATAATCTAGAACTCACCAAACCAGAAACCATGCTCTGCAATCTACTCAAGTCATAGTCAATATCAGTGAGAGAATGTTGCACTCCAGCAACCTGTTTCACAAATTGTAACCAAATATAGAGATGAAGCTAAGAAGAAAGTAAAATATATTTCTAAAGTATGGTAATCAAAAGAAAGCCATATGATATTACGGATCACAAAATATCCATATGATACTAAAGAAAGTACGAATACCATACATCTAAGGTTAAATTGGATAGGGCTTGTTAAATACTAAAATGTGTACATTTAAGACATCAAGCATCACACTATGGATAGCGAATAGCTAAATACACCCCCCAAAAACCAGCTGTGAAAAATCATTCTCTATAAATCAACACTGATCATATCAGAATTGCTTACTCACTACTTATGGAAATCTAACAAGAATCAGCCTCATTCAAACATGAAAATTAATATGCATTTTTTAAAATCTATGAGTTAAGGGTTCAATATGCAGTAAAGGACATACATCTTCCTTAATTGACCTTGAAAGCTCATTTTGCTCCGACATTTTGTCATCCACATGCTGAATCCTCTGCGTCAGGTGCTTCTTTGCTTTCTGTCCAGCATAAGGATATTAAATACAGTTGAATTGTTTAAATATCCATTAATATATATATATATATATATATATATATGAGTTCTGCAAGCCAAGTTGATTTGGGAACAACTATGATCTCCTTAATACAACTTCACACAACATAGGATTTTCTTTTTTGTCACAGACAACGGAAAACTTACAGCAACAGCCTCTTTCACGTTATCCAGATTTTTTGTCAAGTTCTCAACAGCAGTAGCCATACCACGCTTTGTCACATACATCATATCTGAGAATTTTAGACCCTAACCATTTGCAAAGAGAAAAATGTTAGTTTACTCAAGAAAAGAAAAACTCAGGGAATTGAGTCAATTGACTGAAGAAATAATATAAAAATATCCATATAATCTGCATACCTTCCACCACATGTATCCATAACCCACTGCTCCCAAGGTAGCTGCTGGCATTATTAGTGATGTCATATTACCTGAAAAGAAAAACAAGAATTTCAATGAAAAGAAAAAAGAGAACCATTTCGAAATTGTTTCTTTCGTATTATGAACTGCATAACGCAAATAGTAGTTGTGGCAACTTGAACCCAAAATAAAGGGCATGACCATGCATTAAGTTTTAATACACAAAAGGAAGAAAACACAAAGCAACCGAAGAATTTATTAGAAGCACCAGAGAGAAAGGTGAGATACCAATTTGGCTACCGTTCCCATTCACAAAAACCGTTCCCCCGCCACGCGAAGAGCCAATTTGCCTGATCTCAGCTGTCATTCGGCTAATCTAAAAGATAATCAAACAGGAAACTTCATAACCATACGAACAAATTCGACACAAAAAAACATCATTCCATACTATCTTACACCAATTTCCACAATACCTGTGCTGTGAGGGAATCATAGTCACCGTCTGCGTGTTCCCCGGATCCATTTAACAATGACTGCCACCAAACCACAAACAATCGCAAAAATCCATCAAATTTTCTCAGCAACCAAACACGAACTCCCAAATAAACAAAAAAAATTACCAAAACGATCAAACCCCTTTTCCCCAACACCAAACCGCTCCGACCCAAGTAAACAATGACAAATAAACATTTTTAAAAAATCATTAATTTGATTTTACCACTAAATAAGCAGAAAACAAAAACGGTAAAAACAGTACCTGAAGTTCACCGAGCAGCTCGGATAATTTGCCGTTCTTAAGAAGGATGGTGCCAGTATACCCTGCGCAGAGAACAACCAATCACTCAGATCGAATACAGCTAACTCCGCAACCAAACAGACCCAGTAAGAAAAACACAGAATACGGGCGAGGGATAAGTACCTGCCCCAGCTAAGATCAGGATCTTGGAAACCCCTATTCCGCTCTGCATAGCCATGGCGGAGTTCGTGTTCGATCAGAAAGTGCAGGACGGTGAGGAAACGACGGCGTATTTATTGATGAGACAACCGACTTTGACCTTTTTCTATGCCCCACGACGTCGTTTCGTGGGTATTGTGTTTAGGATAGTACTATACAAATTTTTTTTTTTTTTAACAAAGATATTATCTTTTTTTTTTAACAAATATATTATTTACACCAAGAGAAAGGAGGTGTATTTAGCCTTACAATGGGTTAGCAATAACGTGGTTCAAAATCTAAAACCTCTCATTTACGAGCGAAAATGAATACTATTAGATCATAGTACTAAGCAACTACAAATACTTATTTTTATTTTTTACATATCATTCTTAATTTTTGACCGATCAAATAAATTAAAAAAATTAAATGACTAAAAATTAGTAAAGATCTGTAAAAAATAAAATGAGTCTGAATAATACTTTCCTTATTTTATAGACACGACAAGTGACATGAGCCTTGTGCATTTCTTTATTCAAATGCACTTGGGATTAGGTTGGTCCCATCCTAGCAATCTTAAGTGATGCTGAGCATCAGCATAACATTAAATACCGTCATGAGTGTGAGATGATATTCTAAATTACTTAATTTCTGCTAATTTACAAGAAGATGATATTGACAAACTGAGACGATATTCTAGACTACTTAATTTTTGCTAATTTATAAGAAGATGATCCTGACAAACTAATACAACTCACTTCTCGCATTGACATGTTTCATAGTATTTCATTGTGGACTTTTTTTTTGGGAAAGGCACAACGTCAATTGCTCTAATTTCTTCTGATTGGCGAACAATGTTTTCAGGAAGATACAAATCTATTAGGACATGTCCTACTATTATGCCCATTCTCTTGGCACATCCTGCACTTGTATGTTCTTCTGCTGCCAAGCTTGACCTTCACCCCAATAAGTTTGGGGCATGTCCTGCGATTATGGCCTCTTTGACCACATATCTTGCAGTGGTGATGTCTTCTAACCCCGCTTTTGTGACTGCTCATCAACCTCGACTTTGGACAGGTTCTTCTGTTATGGCCCTTTTTGCCGCAAACGCCACAGGTGAACTGTCTATTTATCAAACCACCGTTTAATTCTGGACAGTAGTGTCTTCTATGCCCCTCGCGTCCGCAGTTTCGGCAGTAAAATTTTATTCCTGCATCGCAGAAGGGAAACAGATTTAAGTCAAAGCCTGTTGCATGCGTTTACATTCCCGCATTCTGCGGAACAAGGCAATAGAACAGATGGAAAATAAGGTTACAAAATGTGCCTGTACTAAACAATGGATGTAATCCTAGTATGCAGATTCAGTGACAAACTATCAACAGTAAATCTACAATGGAGTGTAAGAACTTACCCGTCATTGAAATGCTCCTTTTGCGACGGTTTTCAGGGTCACTAAAGAAAGCTTTTAAAGCTTCCGACGTATGCTTTCTTGCTGCAGCAGTTCCTTTGGCTTTCTGCAACACATATAAAACCAATGCAATTAAATCCTCTTTATTTTGAAGTTGGATATGAATGTTTGAGCACAAAATTCATCAAAGTTAAATATTGGAAGTTCCCAAAAGTACTTAATCTTAAAATCTGGACCTTAATTGCAGCCACTCTTTGAGCATGAAGCATAGGATCGCGATGGATGATCTTCATTCTCTTACTAAATAGACCGGTTTTGGCATTCAGACTCTGCAATCATCCAACTAGACAAAGAAGATTAAATTCATGATATGGAACTCAATGTTTATGCCGTGTCCTCTATTAAGTAACAGTTTATGAACTAATATACCAATTGCAAAACCGAGCATCAAGCCAATAACAATAACAAGCGTCTGTAGAGTTCTGATAGCTAAAAATTGCAGGTATCATATATAGGTATAGCTCTAGTTTGCAATTAATACGTGATCTTGTATGTATTCATGTCATCCAATTTACACGCAACATTTCTGGTAAGGTTGAAGCGGATAAACTAACTTTTAGAGACCGGCTGATCTTCAGTCCAACTTCAGGTGGTGGTGATTGGTACACTCGCTTCGATTTTCTCTTCACTAGCTTTATGTCTAAATTGTCAACTTCATCATCTTCCTTCACTCTGAGCGGAGAACTGGGAGGGGGAAAAGTTAAAGTAAGATATCCAAAGTTACACTGCATCATGAAAGAACTCAAAATACTTGACATGTAAAAGCTAAACAGAAGAAAATACTTGAAAATAAATATGAAGCAAAATTTAGGTAGAAATACTTGCTTCAGTGATCATGTCAATCTTTCAGTTTAAGATATCCTTTCCAAAACTAAAGTCTAACTAAAATGACCAGATAAAAAAGGCAGTGATTAAATTGTTATAAACTAGGTACTAAATACAAGGAACAGCACGGCAGAAAATATAGAATATGGAAAACAAACCAAGAGTGCAAGATAAAGTAGGAAGGCTAAGACGTTACACTGAGCGAGCATTCTCCCATGGTCGTTCATCAATCGACTCTTCCCATATGACACAGTCTCCTGAACACTGACGACAAGTCATTATGCCCTGTTACGATAAGCGAAAGGTTAATGAGTCGAGTTTCCCTTGAAAAACAATGCCTTATGGTTTATTCATAGCTATAGCACATTCTTAATCATCTAACCGAAGCAAACGAAAGATAAAAGATTCAAGAACAACAATGTCCGAATCGATAATCAACAGCAACATAGCACATTATGAAGTGCATATTCTATCCATATCTTATCTATAAGCAACTCTTCACAATAAGCTTTAGAAAAAGCACAAACCTTCCCAACACACTGTGAACAATCTGATCTGGACCTTTCTATACCGCACTCTGAACAAGGAGTATATCCCCTCCCCCGGCAACTCGGACAAGGCAGCTCCCTGATATACTGCCCGTTTGGACCAAACCACGACCTTGGTTTGCGCGCACCCAAACTAACATTCCTGAAATTAAGATACATTTATTAAGTCTAAGTGCCAACTTAAACATAATCTAAGCAGACAGTGCGGGCAGCCAGGTTAGCTAGAGTGGATGTGCCCCTATCTACCGAGAAATTTCTCAGTGTGCCAGTAACATGACCCGATACATCAAGTGCCAGTAACACGACTGGATACACCAAGTGTGAATGTTTGGAATTTTTTTTCAAGTGTCCAATGCTCCTATCAACTCGAGTGCAAATTACCCTCTGTAGTTTAGATTGGATTAAAATAGAATATCGTCTTTTAATTATGAAATAAGAGTGAGATACTATAAACAAATGAAATTATATGAGGTGAAAATTTTACAAATTTACAAACCTCGGCTTTGAATTGGCCTCGAGCCCGAATAAGTCTTCGGAAGGATCATAACCCAGCTGCCATACCAATCCAAAACACCATCAATAAAAAAAAAATGCAGTCAGATTTTCCGGGAAATTCAAGAGAGAGAGGGTACCTGCGGTGGCTTGGGGGCTGAGACGGCGTCGTCGTTGGTTGAAGATGAAGTGACTCTGGGCACGAACGTAATACTGCTGCGACTGTAACTGGTCCTTGTGTTGGAGCGAAGAAAAAGAAAGAAGCGGACGCTCTCGTGCCTCCATTGCAGTGCGAGTCCAGAGCAACAAAGCGACGACATTTGACATGAAAAAAAAAAAAAAAAAACTCAAGACTTCGCAGGCTGCAAGCGGCTTTGAGAGTGGAAGAGTCGCGTCGCGTTGCTACACTGACGTCTCGCGTGTGGCTGAAAATTAGACAACACGCGCCTTTTCCCCTCCTTATGTGTCGACATGGCATGCCATTATCAACCAGCCCACAAGTTAATCATCTTGGGCCGAAATTTAAAAATAAAACGTCAGCAACCAGCCTAAAATCCGGCCCGCCGTTGTTTTAAAGCAGAGAAAATGGTAGAAACGGCCTTTTTAATTATAACTGAATTGAAGCAATGATTTTTCAATTAATTGTTCCTTTAACTCATTAAATGTGTAGATATGGTTTTTTACGTTAACTTCGTCAAAATAAGGTACATTCTACACACATGAGGTTGAATCAAGACTAATTTTGATTTTAACTCATAATAGAAATAGTTCTTTAATTTTAACTCAATTAGAGCAATGCTCTCTCAACCTTAATCCAATTAGAGAAATTATCACTCAACTTTAACTAAATTGTAACAATGATCATTCCACCATGACTAATTTTGATTGAAGTTTCGGCAAAATTTACAAAAATGACTATATGTGTATATTTTAATGAGTCAAAAAATGAATAATCACTAATTTTTAGTTGAAATTCAATCGGATAAAATGAAAAAACTAGTGCTACAATTTTTCCTTTTTAGTTAAAAGACCAACGTTTCAATTGAGTTAAAATCAACGAACTAACGCTACAATTTTCTCCCTACAGCATATAGGGGAAGGGACAGAGTTGCAGAGAGAGAGAGGGAGAGTGTTCAGGATGCTGAAACTACACTCGTTATCTTCCCCTGCGACTGCACAAAACCCTCACAAAAGCCCTAGCCAGTTCCTCTCTTCGCAGCTCTCCGGTAGGGGTAGGGTTTTCAGCACCAACACCTTCGGCTTCGCTCCGAGTCCGAGCTTGTCGACGAAGAGGCTTTCCTTGAAATGTCGCCAGTCGGAGTACTTCGACCAGCAGAGAACCAGCACCGCCGCTTCCCCGAACAAGCCTTCTCCTGCTTCGCAAACTCCCACCGGAGGTACTTACTCTGTCCTTGGACTATTTTATCCTGTGCTGCTGTAGAAAAATGGTTTGGAAATGGATAGAGTTAAGGGATTGTTTGGTTACATGTAGCTGAGCAAATGAAGTGTAAGAAAGCATGAAAATTTTGCACTTGATTGCGTGTTGTGTAGCTGTTTGGCTAGATTAGGAGCCCATTTAGCATGAAGGACAGGGTTGAATTTGACCATTTTGAAGTTAGGGCCCGTTTGGGATTGCTTTTGGAATCTCTAAACGTGCTTTCTGACAATTGACAGCGCTTCTTGGTTGTAGAAATGCTTTCGGGAGAAGCACCTGCTCTGTGAAGCACTTGGATTTTTAATAAAATTTTCTGCATGATTAGAAGTGCTTATTATGGAAGCAGTTCCAAACGGGAACTTATTTTCTGTGCAACCAAACAGGGATATTGAGCGATTAAAGCTTACAAATTGACGAACCAGTTTAATGATGGCTAGGCAGAATTTCTTTGTTTATAGTGTTATTAATAAATGTATTTGTTTGGTTTATGCGTGTAGTGACAGGGATGGCACCTAGGATTTACGTGGGTCACTCAATATACAAGGGAAAGGCAGCTCTTACTGTAGAGCCCAAAGCTCCAGAGTTCACCCCATTAGATGTATGTTTGATTTGATTGATGCATTATTTAGTTCTTTGTAAGAATATGGTTCTTTGGCAAGATTATGATTTCTCAACCGTTAATACAAAACTGTGTTTATGTTATGGAGCGTCTAATTGATTGTTCTTTGATGGTTTGGTGTCCCGGACAGTCAGGGGCATTCAAACTTTCCCGGGAAGGTTTTGTGCTACTTCAGTTTGCTCCAGCAGCAGGTGTTCGTGTATATGACTGGAGCAGAAAGCAGGTGATTCATGCTGCGTTTGCTCATATGAATAATGAATTTACAAGAATGATAAGAACTGAAAACTTTTAGTAATGTCAATGGTCAAATATTTACCTTGTTACATAATAAGGTAAATAATACTTCCATTATAGTCCATGGTCCTCTAACTTTGATTATTGGCTAGTCGTTACATAATACTTCCATTAAAAACATTGAGGTGTATGGTTACCGCATACCAGTCCGCCGTTAATAAAACCTTTTGTTAAGTGTATATGGCCACTTACTATAATTGTAACTTTGTAATTATGATGATCATTAATATATGCAAAAACAACAATTGGTTTGTGTAGGTATTCTCGCTATCAGTGACAGAAATTGGAAGCCTGGTTAGCCTTGGCTCAAAGGAGTCCCTTGAATTTTTCCATGATCCTTTTAAGGGTAAAAGGTAGCTCCTTCACTCTTTCCCTTTCTTTGCATTATCATGGATTTTGGTAACAGTGGTGGTTTTGCCTGTGTTGGATTATTTGTATATGGTTCTCCTAATCAGCATACATTGAATATGAGTGACTGTAATAACCGGTGGTCTCGTGTGGTGATATATGTAAAAATCTTGCGTTCAATACAAATGTCTTCATTTTCTCTTTGAAATTATTAAGATATCTAGACAAGCAGAGTGGGACAAGTATTTGTTCATTGCAACTGTACTAAGTTTGATAGTCTATCCCTTGTGATATGAACATCTGATGACAGATATGTAAATATACATGATTATACTTTCGTGCATCTCCAACTTGTTGATGGTGCATAATGTAAGTGATGTAATATGTACTAAAATGTTTTGTTTTGCAGTGATGAGGGCAAGATCAGGAAGGTGTTGAAGGTGGAGCCTCTTCCAGATGGATCTGGCCATTTCTTTAACCTCAGTAATTGTCTTATCCTTGAAATCTTGGTGGCGAACATTACATTTATCTTCACCTTATTATGCCATAATATATAAGTTGATGCTGCGATTTTTTAATTTTCAGTCATTTAAAGTATAGTCAATCGTTGGTACATCAATGCTTTTGGCAAACTTTTCCCATTTATTCATCAAGCTATACACTTTTCAGCTGTAAAGTTTATAACTAAACACCATTATGCTGCATGGTTAAACAATGGATATGCAATACATGGAAGAAATTTAGGTGATCACGTTTTTTTAGGCGAGGTCTGTTTGCAACGTATAGTTTCTGTTAAATCAGTACAATTTTATTGCACACAAGCCATTTACTATACTTATTGGAGGGTGCTAAGTTTTTTTAACATATATTGCTGTTATCATTATGGCATGATCAAGGTGTTCAAAACAAGCTTATCAACTTGGACGAGAGCATTTATATTCCTATCACCAGGGCGGAATTTGCCGTTCTCAAATCAGCTTTCAATGTGTGATGTCTCTTTCTCCTCCTCCTCCATCTCTCACACACGCTCATCCACCCACCCAAATTATCCTTGTATAAAACATACCTGCATTTGCTGAATCGTTACTGGTTGGGACTCATACTTTTTCTGTTCTTTGCAGTTCATCTTGCCGTACATTTTAGGTTGGCATGCCTATGCAAACTCCATAAAACCAGAAGCTTCGGGCCGTGCCAATAACTCTGGTATTAAATACGGAGGAGATTTTGAATGGGGCAGATAGTAGGGACACTAAGGGAACTTTAAAGTGCAAATGATGATGGTTTGATGTTAATCGTTCGTTGTGTATGTCCTGTTATTATCTATCTCCAAATTTTGGGTTGACTATTAGTAGTCTTAGTTTGAGGTGGCTACTTTAGATTAGTTACTAAGAAAGAGTGTTTTTTTTTTTTTTTTTTTTTTTTTTTTTTGGGGAAAATATTACCAGGGTAAAGATGCTAGAGAACTACAAAGAAAGCCTACACCGAGGTCAACAAGCAAACAAAGCAACATAACCAAAGCAGCGAAGGGGATAGAAAAAGAAAGGAGTATTTTTAGCAGGAGATGGAGCCCTGTGATATTTCATTAGTCAAGAAAGACAAATTGTTGGTCGCTCTTTATATTAATCCGATGGCTAATCTACTTTAATAAATATTTACGTTAAAAAAAACAAAACAAAAAGAAAACTTACAAAATAAATATATTCACCTATTTATAACAGTGAGCTACCCACAGATGTATCGAAATCACTATAAATATTGGTTTTAAATTTTATGTGATCTGAACTTGAAAATCTCCAAGTAACTACAAACAAATATCAATTTATTATACCACCACCTCAAGTACTAATATGTTGTTGTTTTAACTTTTCAATTTTTTATGTTAATTTATACATGATACAATCCAATTGTATAGTTGGACGTTGACTGCAGTAGAGGAGTCATGAATTTTACCCATCTATATACTTAAACTGAAAAAGGAAAAAAAAATTATAAGAAATATAATAACGCAAAATCATAGATTAAAAGCTCACTGAAGACGTTTATAAATGTATAGTGTATATTAAAAACTATATTTCTAATATGACATAGAAAAAAGGTCAATAATAAAACATCCGCACAACATACAATTAGTCACCAAAGTAACGTGACTAGAAATAGTGCGAGGCCCAGAAGCAATGTTGCTACTCTGATCTCAAAAGGAATTGCATAATAAGTGTTAGTTGATTACATTAATCAGTGATTAGCTGATATAATAAAGAGAAAAAAAAAAAAAAAAACCAACTTCGTCTAAGGGCAGTTAGAGCTTGATATGGATCAAAGAATAAGGGATATTTCAATTAGTAATAATTTTTAGAAAGTATATGTTAGTAATTCTATAAATAAAAAGAAACTTGTATAATCGTTAATGTTCATTCATTTGTTGTATTGCTAATGATATAGTATAAAGAATCAAAGTATAATATTTTTAAAGGAAACTTTAACGAAAAACTCCTGTTACTGTTCACTTTAACGAAAAACCACATTTTTACTCTAAAAAGTCAATCCTAGTATTATTCACTTTATCCTTTATTTTATCCTTATCATTAAAACTCAAAGTTTTCAAGCCTTTTTCATTAGTTTTTCTATTTTTAAATGGACCAGACGGGTCAAAATTTTGAGAAATTTGATATACCAAAAAAAAAAAAAATACAAATAAAAGTGAGAAAAATCAAGTAACTCTCCTATGGCTTTATTAGCCCTGCCAGTGGTCAATTGGCATGACAATGGAAGGACCAATTTTATCATAACATGAATTTTGGATTTGGCATAAAGTTAACTTATGGAAGTTTGCTAGATTAAGATTTTGTTTTTTTGTTTTTAAATGATATCAGATGGTGGCTTCGCCATAGTCGTCCACCTTTTCGGGGCTAGAAAGACTTACAGAGGCATTTCAACCTCCTTTGGGCATCATATTATGATTCACCACACCAAAAATCGAACTCAAGACGTGAAGTATGAAATACATGCATAAAATTTGTCATTAACCACTGGAACATCCGACCATGATTTTTTATGCATTGCACATAGAGTTGAAACTGTTATCAAGCTGGCTCCATCGGTCACGATTCCCAACTCTATTCAAAAAATGAGGGCAAAAAAACCCGGATCCAATAGTTATCGAACCCAAAGCCACAACTCAATTTCTTGTAGACTTGACAATTACTTGTCGGGGTAATGCTAGGGAGACTAAATTTGAAAACTAAATGATGTGTTACCAATAAGAATGAGCATGTTTATTAACATTTAACCAATAACCCAATTGTGACATCCCACATCGCCTAGGGGAGTGATCCTTATATGTATATTCTCATCCTTACCTAGCACGAGGCCTTTTGGGAGCTCACTGGCTTCGGGTTCCATGGGAACTCCGAAGTTAAGCGAGTAGCGCGCGAGAGCATTCCCAGGATGGGTGACCCATCGGGAAGTTCTCGTGTGAGTTCCCAAAAACAAAGCCGTGAGGGCGTGGTCGGGGCCCAAAGCGGACAATATCGTGCTACGGTGGTGGAGTGGGCCCGGGATGTGGTGGGGGCCCGGGCCGGGATGTGACACCAATCATCAACTTTCATGTCCTTTAATTTTCAAAACTTTGTCTACAAATTTAGTCTCTCTAGCATTACCCTTACTTGTTCCCAAACATTTTTAACAAACATTCTTGGCTTTTTCATAGTCAAACATTTTCTGTGTGTGCTTTTGCAAATTATGTAAAAATTTAACTTATTTTAGCTATAATATTCTTTAAATTAAATTAAAATAACTTCCTAAAATTCACTTCAGAATATTAATCCAATAAAAATTAGACTAAAATAATTGTTCAACAAATAGTTGTAAAATTAAATTAATATAACTCCCTAAAAGTCATTTCAGAAATGTTAATAAAAAAATTAGACTAAAAAAAATTGTTCAACAAAGTAATAGCTAACTAGCATATGCCCCACACTTTGTGTGTGAAAATAATAATTATTTTTATTTTAAAATGGGAAGGAGAAAGGGAGAAAAAAAGAAGGTCGATTAAAGAGAGAAGTTTTCCTTTTACTAGCCTTTCTGCACGCGATCAGGCACGTGCGAAAGGTATTTTTCAATCATAGAGCGTTATGCGTGACTTACACATTTTAGATGTATTTATATGTGATGATTGGTTCAATGTATAGAAATATAAAATAAAGACGATTATCATCTTTAATAATACAAGCAGGAATTTAAAGTATTTTACATAGAATATGTAAAAAAAAATAATGGAGAAGATCTTTGATACACTTGACAGCAAAACATATCATGAACTCATATCGTTTCGTCTTGTTGAAAATTTAATACGTTTGGTTAAAATCAAATATTAGCATTATTTGTATATTATTTAGAGATGCAAATTGTGCAATTTTTTTTATTTTTTATGACCGTATGTTGGAAGTTTTCGCAAATTGGTCATAAAACTTTTTGCCATATAAGGCTACGAATCTTTTCCAACTTACACGAATTCAAAATTATTTTTCACCATCCTAAGGATACACATCTACTATACTGCATAAGTCGCCGAGGTCATGATACTGGCTTATTTATTTACACTGTAGTCTGTACCCCCAAAAGCTAGCGCGTGATCCTTTTTCAACTATTTGCAAGCAAAACCCCATATATAGTTCCACAAAATCTTGCCGTGATTGATGTCCAACTCTCTGCAAAAGAAGAAAAAGATTTTCAAATGGATTATGGAACTAAAACAACGCACCATTCCACCAATTTTGATTTAAAACCATGAGCAACTCATTGGGAGAAAAATGATGAAAACAATATATTATTGAGATTTCCACCAATTTTCTCCCTTACATTTGGCAGTTGTGTAGATTTGCATCTCTAGTCAATTTTTTCTTCTGTTGTACTTTGTTTGTTGACAAAGTACTTTGCAAAAAGAAAATAAGCATTGGTGACAAAGAGTAAATGAAATACATACTATCAAACTGAAATACATACCTTAGAATGATTATTCCCACCACCACAGCCTTGTTGGTTCGATATATGTTTGGAAATTTTATCATCTCAATAGAACACTCAAACACATGGTAAACCTCATCTTACTATTTACAGCAGAATAAGTAAATCATTTCCTTGAAGTTGAATGCTCTCCAAATGGAGAAGAGCTTGTTCTTGGTCTTTTAGAATTCCTATGGACTCATGTAGAAAATCTCAGCTTAAGCCCTTCAACCATCCTTACAATTAGTCTCCCAGACATATGCTCTCTAAAAACTACAAACTCAATGAACACACCTTCCTCATAAATACGATTTCTCAGCAATATGCTCCCTAAACAAATAATATTGAACACTCAAAAATGTCAGGATAGTTCTATACTATGCAAGGAGTAATAGTTCTAGTCTTACCTATTGGGAGAATAATGTAAATTCGTGAGGACAAATCATAGAGACAAAAGATCGAAATAAATGGCTTACTGACTGAGTCGACTCCCATCTGAAGCAAGGGAAGCATGCCAACAGGCAACATACCTGAAAAAGCAAACGTTAAATAAGAAGAAATATTGGAGAATCTATATACACAAAATATTCAGGATTTAAAAAAACATAATCTTCAAAAGCGAACAAAGACAAAATCACATACAATGAATCAGAAGAACCTAATCACATGATGCACCTTGTCCTTTCTGATGAGCTTGCAGCTTGAAGGAGGACCAACACTGAAGGCTTGAACAAGAAGCTTATTGATAGAGTTAAATGAACAAATAGGATTGTGACACTTGTAATCAGATTAAGAGAGTTAGTTATAGTTAGCAAGCATATGCAAGTGTAAGAATGTTCTTGTATAAATACCCTCTAAGGAGAATAATGTACTGATCAAGAAAAGTAATAAGAAATATCTTTCTCTCTCACTTTACATTTCTCTCTAGACTTCTCTCTCTCGCTCTCTCTCTATAAACCCTAATGATGAACTGCTTCTTGGTTTACATGGTATCAATCGCCATGGCTGTTTCAACAGTGTTTCTTCGATTCCTCGGCTGCTTCCGCTCCTCTCCTCAACTGTGATTCCTTCTCTTTTTCGACGGTAGATTCTTGCTGTGTTCGTTACTGCTTTCTGGTATTCTGTTTCTTCGTCTGTGAGTTCTTTTGTTAGGGTTTCGGGATTTCTTGATCTTCTCGTCTTTGTTCTACAAGCTTGTGCACACCAGGTGTTTGTGATATTTCCTCTCTTGATTTTTCTTCTTACGTTCTGCCACAATGGTTACTGCGTCTCAATTACAAATTCTCCAGTCGCCTATTACTTCTCTTATTTCGACGCTTTCCACATCTGTCAATGTTAAACTTGATGATTCGAATTATCTCAATTGGCACTTTCAAATGGCATTATTGCTCGAAAGTAATGGCATTATGGGGTTTGTTGATGGGTCAACACCCTGTCCTGCTCGTTTTGGTGAATCTGGTACCGAATCAGATGACTATACCATTTGGAAACTTCATGATCGTGCACTTATGCAGCTTATCACTGCCACCTTGTCTCCCGTGGCCATGTCTTGTGCTATTGGTAGTTCTAGTTCTCGGGACTTATGGATTCGACTTAAGGAACAATTCTCTACTGTGTCTAAAACCAGCATTTTCCAGATGAAGTCCAATCTTCATACAATTAAGAAGGGGTCAGACTCTGTAACTCAGTACCTGCAGAGAATCAAAGAAGCTAGGGATTATTTGTCTGCTGCTGGTGTGTTTC